CTAGTTTTTGCCCAAGGTTGCTAGCACCTTGGGCAGAGTCGCCAGCACCTTGGCTGGGCAGTCCGAAAATTTTCCGACCCGAAAAAAATAATAAAAAATACGAGCGCGTAGGAAATTGAATTTGGCACGGTGGTTGTTGGGGCCGTTTTCTCAGATTTCGAGAATTGCTCCGAAAACGTCGGGAGCGACTAGTTTTTGCCCAAGGTTGCTAGCACCTTGGGCAGAGTCGCCAGCACCTTGGCTGGGCCGGTGCCGAAAGTCCGAAAATTTTCCGACCCGAAAAAAATAATAAAAAATACGAGCGCGTAGGAAATTGAATTTGGCACGTGGTTGTCGGGGCCGTTTTCTCAGATTTCGAGAATTGCTCCGAAAACGTCGGGACCGACTAGTTTGGGCAAGGCATGTTGTTAGGGAACAATAAGTCGATGAACAATGACAAATGTTTTCAACGTATCTTTTGCTACGAAGATGATATCGTCACGTTCACTTGTGGGGGGGGGGGGGGGGGGGTGTATGATTCCACGGAGAATGGTTATGTTTTTCGGTGTAGTAAGGTGTTTTTTTCACTATTTTAACGAATATATTAGTTAAAATAATGAATAAATAGAAATTAAATATTAAAAGTACCCGAATAATATAAATAATAATTACTATTTCGTAAAAGAACTATCCACAGTACCTTTCCACTCTTCAAACCTCATACCCGAATTAATATTCTCTAATTATTATCTATTTTTTGAATTAAAATAATAAAAAAATGTAATTAAAAATCATAAAAATAAAATAAAAATTTCATAAATTCATGTAACTACAGCAGGAGCCAAATGGGATAATTTTCGTGATTTTTCGAATATATTTTGATATTTTTCTCTATTTATTATCTATTTTACTGTATTTCTTGAATTAAAATAATAAAAAAATATAAATAAAAACCAGAAAAATAAAATAAAATTTCAAGAACACTTGAATAATCAACAGGAACTAATTGGCATAACTTTCGTGATTTTTAAAATATATTTCGATATTTTTCTCTATTTATTATCTATTTTATTGTATTTTTTTGAATTAAAATAATAAAAAATATAATTACAAACCAGAAAAATAAAAAAAAAATTCAACAATTATTGTAATATCAACAGGAATTATTTGGCATAATTTTCGTAATTTTTAAAATGTATATTGATATTTTTCTATATTTATTTGGTAATTAAAATTATTTTCGAATGAAAAAATTAAATAAAAATAATTACAAGTCGGAAAAATAAAATTCCAGTTTCTATGGGTAGATAATAATATAATTAATGTTAGAAAAAAATTTGGTTAAAAAATAAGTTGAATAAGATATAAAATATTGAGAAATAAAATATTGAGAAATAAAAAAGTTGCTTCCCTCGGCATTTTCAATGTCTAGTGGTCATTTGGCTGATTTTGTCCATTTCACTACTATAGGGGGGGAGGTGTCCAAGGAGGGTGCTAGGCCAAGGTGCTAGCAACTTTGCCCAAGGTGCTAGCAACTTGGGCAATGCCCAAGGTGCTAGCAACTTGGGCAAAGTTGCTAGCCCCTGCGGCAGGAATGGTGGGCCAGTGGTGGCGGGCGGGCGGCACCACCACCCAACGGCGGCGGCGCTCCGGCGGCGGCGGCGGCGGCGCTCCGGCGGCGGCGGCGGCGGTCGGTCGGAAAAAAAAAAAATTTTTTTTTTTTTTTTTTCCAGTCCCTTTCGGAAGAGGCCCGATAAAGAAAGATGCCGGATAAAGAAAGATGCCCGAATTAAGAAAGATGCCGAAGAAAGAAGGTTGCTTGTCGCAAAAAAGAAGTTGGCTTGTCGGTAATCAAGATGAGGCCGGTGCGGTGCTTCGGCGAAGCCCGGCAACATGCATTCTTACGGGTTGGTATGGTATGATAATTTGTGCTTGTCGGACCATCATTGGGTGGAGTTCGGTCGAAGTCAGCCCCCGATAGGCGATTGGAGTGTCGAACGGCTGTGTTGCGTTGTGGGATGGCTCTCATTCGAAAATGGTGTGGTTAGTACGAGTTATGCTTCGAAAACCACTCTGTCGAGGAAGTGAGTTGTCCTTCGGGCATGCTGTTGGTTTGCGCGTTGCCTATTGGGAAAGGTTGTCTCGCTCGTTTCTCTACTCCGGTGATGCATGATGGGCATGATTATTTGTGGCTCTCGAGCGAATCGGTGCTAGTAGGTGATGGGAATATAGGCGATGCGTTGCTATACGGCAGTCGGTGCTTCGTGGGATGGCTCTCATTCGAAAATGGTGTGGGTAGTACGAGTTATGCTTCGAACCCCGCTCTGTCGAGAAAGTGAGTTGTCCTTCGGGCAGCGGCTGTTGGTTGGCATGGTTGCCTGAATGTTGCGGTGCTCATTGGAAGTTTCGCTCGAGCCACTACTCAAGGTTGGATATTCACGAATGCATGTTGTCGGTGCCCGTTGGAATGTTTCGCTCGGACTCACTCGGTGATGGAATGTTCCTCGGAATAAGACCACAT